TGCTAGAACGCGTGTTTATGTTTGCTAAATTTTAATTCGAGAATTAAAAAGAAAACTATAATAAATAAGCAAAAGTAATAGTAATATTTATACTCAAGGTATTTGTTTATTTCTGTAATTTTCCATAATACAATTTCAAATTCATATTGTGTTCGCAACTGTCGCCGGTTCGGACTCGTGTTATTTTTTTATGTAGGGTGGAAATTTTAATGTAAAAATTCCGTCCTTACAATTCATAGACAAACGAATCAAAAACTTATTCACTCAGCCTAGCCAGAGATCACATCTGTAAAAATAAAAATGAAACTTGAACCTTATAATCGAAAAATTTGTAATTTGTTTTTCTTGAAATCAACTATTCCTAGGCAAACGAAAAGATCCATTTGATAACTAAGTTAATGTGCAGAAAACATGACAAAAAAACATTATTCCACCAAATCAACTTACAATTAGGGGTTATATGTAAAGAACGTGTCTTGGAATATCGGTCACTGACTAGTAGATAGGTTTTCTAGCTTTAATTCGACATAAATATTGTGGTGAATGTCAGGAGGATGAATTGACAGTGGAACACTTTTTCTACAGCAACCCATCTCTACAACCCATGACAAAAAAACATTATTCCACCAAATCAACTTACAATTAGGGGTTATATGTAAAGTACGTGTCTTGGAATATCGGTCACTGACTAGTAGATAGGTTTTTTAGCTTTAACTCGACATAAATATTGTGGTGAATGTCTGGGGGATGAATTGACAGTGGAACACTTCTTCTACAGCAACCCATCTCTAGTCAAAAGCGAATCTAGTCTAGTCAAGCAATTATTCCATTATATCATAAACTCTTTTGTGGAAGTGTAGAACACTAAACTCAAAAACACATCCGAGCTTAATAACGGATTAAAAATGATTTCATAATTAACAAGCAGTTAATGTTCCGTGTTAGTGATATCGCGATAAACTCATAGGGGTTGAGTGTGTTATTTGATTGATTGCCACAATAACCTAACCAATCCTGAACTAGTAACTGAGTAAATTTGTCGTCCTTTTTTATTGCTGAATTTGATTTGAGTTGGTATTAAAGAGTACATCAATTTTTAACTGACGATCTTAAATAGTCTCTCTGGTCAATGCCAAAAGAGAAGCTTAAGTATGTTAGCATATGGATATCTGCACTTTTCATTCCATTAATTCTATAATTAAAGAAAGATATGCGTTGGTAGTATTGAGAATGTTTAGTATTTTCAGTTGTCCTTTTATACTTACATATAACGTGTTCTATCTATTATTATATCTATTGACTTTAACAACAATAATCCCAGTTATCCACTTTTCTTAAACTTTGAACATTTTTTTTCATCTATTTTTCTTTCTAATTATAATGTTATGCATTTAAATCGCATTTCAAATGCACTTAATATTTTGTTATATTTATTATTTGAACTGCAGACTTCCTGTTTCTGAGTCCATTAGAGTCACCATATTGTGGAGTTGTCATTTTTGCACTTTCCTTCTGTGTTCTGCTTTGTTTTGCATATTTTGCATTCTCATTACTTAAACTTAAAAATGGCGAACAACACTTCCGGTGGCGTCTGTCTCCGCTATTGCTGCACACGTATTTGATAGCAGTTAACGTATACGTTTCGGACGAACTATCCCGCTTCCACTTCCATTTGGTCAAAAATGCATTTTCGTTACTCTTGTTGCAGCTGAGCCACAATTTTCAAAAATTTTAAATATAGTGTCCTTTTCCTTTTCCTCCTCGTACTTTTCTTTGCCATTTTTGTGTTCTGCTGTTAATTTATGGTAACATTTAGGAGTTTTGTACTTAGTCTAAACTTAAATTGCATGTTGCAGTTGCTTTTAGTTCTGCAGGAGCAATGGCAGTTGTTGCTGTTACTGTTGCTGTTGCTCCTGTTATTGTTGTTATTGGAATTTTATAACAGAAGGAAATCATAGCTTGTATCGCAAACAATTCCTGTTGTTACTTATATCTATTTTTTCGACTCTTTTTAAAATGATTTTCTTGTAATATTCCAGACCTTTTATACTTCTAGAGATATTTTTATATATTAATTCACTAATTTATTTTAATATTTGGTTGTTTTTAGAATTCCTTTTTGAAATCAAGATTATTTTAATGGTTTTTCGGCTGATGACAAAACTCTCATTTGCTAGTTGTTTATGTATCGGAACGCAAAATTTAAAAAAAAATAGTACAAATTAGACTTAGTACTTACATACGGGAACAGAATTAATAAACCCTACATGACAAATTAGGTGATATGCCATATAGTGTAATAGCAGCTTCACTTCCTGTTTTAGAAAAGTTCTTAACATGATTAAAACAGTTTTACTTTAATTGCTATATTAACGACTTAATACTATAATTGTATAATTGAATGTTCACTCTACCAGAGCCGTCCTAAAAAATTCTGCACTTATAGGTAACATTAAACTAATGCTGGTAGAAACCTACTTAATATAAAAAGATCTGTGATATCTACATTATGATTACAAATGACTTTATACAATAATTCGACAATGGAATGTATACCCGCTCACGGACATTTCTAGACATTCGGTACCTATGGGCAACACTAAATATGTTAGTTTTCCGCCAACTAAATAAAAAAATACGTACACTCCACAATTGAAACAATTTTTTGTTCACGCAATACATTTGTATAAATAAGCAATTAAACCGTATAGCACCAATAAAATTTGTAGCGACTATAAAGGTAGTCTCCACTCTACTCTTGTAGAGACCATCCACTATATGGCAATGCGTATTTTGTTTTGATTATAGATCGTACCTACTACCGATTTTGTAACTGATAAACATAAGTAGATGGTAAATTATATTATGAATGCAGAATATAAGTTCTAGAGAAATAATTTCCATAAATCAAAATGCAAGTTTACTCAGTTGTGGGACTCAGTTGAAGTCTAAATTTTTTTTAAATGATCTAGAATATATATTTTAATTTCAACCTTAAATGTTAAACACAAATTAGGTAAAAACTTTTCATTTCGTATATGAGGATTATTAAGCTATTATTAAGTCATTAAGAGTGTCAGTAAGAATACATATAAAAAATAATGTTGGCAAAGGGAGGCCAAAGTCTCTGGGAGTGAGTATACAAAGGAGTGTTTGATTGCTGGCATGAAAAATACCAGCGCAATGCTTATCATCCTCAATCCAAGTTGTCACACAGCCTTCACGTGGTACCCTGAATAGTTACCTAACATCCGCTGAATAATGAACTAATAGTGCGTACAGAGATTCCTATCCCCAGAACTTTAAAATTGGGCTGTGCTTAGTGTTTGGCACTCGTCGCGTAAAATCAGCCGCCAATGAAGGACGTAAGGATGCTTCGGAAGTGGAAATATTGGTGGCAGTTAGTGATGAATCTATTGGGTGATGTAAAAAGTATTCATCGATTTTTAAAACATTTTGGAATAAAAATAATCTTTATTGAAAATTCATTTTAATAAAGTTTGTATTGGAATTTATTATTAATAACCATTTGCCTTTTATCGGGTAGCAATTAACACATAATTCCATATATGTATAAATTTTGTTGTGTACTGACGAAAAATTTGTCTAACTGGTTTTCAGAGACTCTTCGCAAGGGCAATTTTATATTATTTTTCATTTCGTGTTTGGAGGCAATAAAGAAATTATTAAAGGGTCTCAGTATCAATACTAATCTCAAGAGCAATGCTGACGGTATTTAGTCATCCGGCCAAAGTGCTGCTTCATTCTTATTATAGTTAAAGGTCTTATAGGTAAAGGTCTTTGTAGATTATCTGAAGTGTCATCGTGGCGGATATTACTAGTTTAAGGAAATGGATCGGTCTTTAAAGAAATTTGTCGATTCTACCTCGAGGTAGATAAGTCTTTAAGTCTTACTCAGGAGAAAAATACTACGACAGGAAACATTTTAATCTTTATTTAATGGGCTGAGGGTCTTCTCTTCAGTAAAGGTCGGTTTGCAGTGCAAAATGTTTTCATTTGTTGCTTATAATTTGTTAATTTTCTTTTATTCTGTTGTACTTATAGCGCCTAGTATAAGTAATATAAAAGATGATTGCACAATTGCAGGAATGTGTATGTAAAAATGTGAAAGATAATTAATCGGAAGCTTATACGGTCAAAGACGAACAAAGTTCTTGACGATGGTAGCATTACCATGACGTAGCATTCACACAGATACTGAATACTCTGCCATTTACATTCTAAGAACATTTAAGGAAATTTGTTTAACGTGTAAGTATGTGATGTGACATAGAGCATGTCGTGCCATTAAGAATCCGTATAAGTTTTACGATGAAATTTCTTTGTCAAAAATATTTGATCACAACTGGAGTTAAATGCAGCAAAGGCGTGTCAAATATTAAAGGTTCCTTTGCGTTATGCAGGACTTTTGAAACCAATTCCATTTGCCAAAATGAAAATTGTTGCAAGAACTGAGAATGCCTAAAAAGGATGTAACAACAACAAAAACAACAAAAAATGAAAATGAAAACAAAAACAAAATGAATAATCGAGCATTGGTGCATCAAACAATCAAAATGAAGTCATCAACATTGACGTGGATGTGGACACAAACACCGATACCGACATCGATACGGATACGACTAAGGACATGGGCGGTATGGTGAGAGGATAAATAAAGCCAAACTTTGTTGTAATTTAATACAATTGCAGCCTGTAATCTGCGTAAGTGTGTGTAGGTGGGTGTGCGTGTGTGCTCGCGTGTGGAAGCACAAATCCAGGATATGCGACGGAACTATGTAACATGCATACATTTAAGCAACTGTTTACCGTGTTGAAATTGTGTTGCAAAAGTAAGCGATTTTTTTTTCATAAAAAAAATATCTTTTTTCTCCACTGTTTCGCAATTTGTTGCGCTTTTTTTGCAATTTAAATCGGCAAACGGAAAACGGAAGTAGAGTCAGCTATGTTGCCGGATGCCGATCGTTTCGTTCTTCAAAATGAAAAATCAATCGATACGTGCCAATACAGCACAGCATAGCCAATACGATATAGCGTGGCATAGTCCGAAATTCATTTTCTGTGGTAAAATTCGGTGCACTTTGCATTTTGTTGAGGTTGGTCGTTGGGTTGTTGGGTTGTTGGGTTGTCGGGTTGTTGGGTCGACAGGTCAGCTGACACTGTTTCATTTATTCAACACTGCGTAAAGCAATCTAATAGTACAGGAACGAACACCAAATCGCACTGCTTCCTGCAGTCATTTCGAGGTTTGCGTCATCGTTGTTTGTGTACATGTGAGATTTTGTGTGCTTTCCAAATGCCAAATTGAGTGTTAATTAATTTTTGCTGCTGTGTTATTAGCTTAATTGCCATTTAAGATATCTGAGATAGTCTCATATACTCGTTCTCATATACACATATAATTTAATTTGAGTATATATTGTGTCATGTGTTCAAAGCTTACTCAAATTG